TGTTTTTACATATTTTAAGCCCAGCCTTCATTTTCTCTGTAGAAACCCTGGTCACCAAAATAATTTATCGCAATTAATACCTCGCTTTGATAAACCCTGACCAGACTATCTTAACATTTATTAGATAGTTATAACGAATGCATGTTTCTTCCTAATAGCAATTGCCTATTGGAATAATCCGTGAACCAAGGTTGTTCTTAGTGTTTGCAGGAAACCGATCTCAATATCTTATTAATTATGCCACTATTTCCTCCAAATAGTTCATTCTACTACGCAAAACAAAATCCAAACTCTTGGAAAGCTCTCTTCAGTAAAGCCACTCAAGGTTCTTCACTGCATTTGCTAACTTGTCTATATATCTATTCTTTATATGCATTCTAGTTATATCTCTGTGTTCAGCACAATGCTTAGCAAATATGTAGAGTAAAATTACATCATACAACTTATGAATCGACTTTAAATCTAGAAAAATCTATTTAATTAAAGGTTGTAGCGATTGTCCAATTCTGGTATTAGCTATAAGTAAAGAAGCCAATTTTTTATTTAATCAAATAAGTCACAAAAGTTATAACTCTTGGTATATGCAATATTTAGGTTGTGAAAAGACGTGAGTCTATGCAATACCAACAATTATAATAGTTTATCTTTCAAATCCAACAAGTTAACATTTACTTAAAAACAAGGCAAAATATTAAAGATTTCCCTAAGCCTAGGCTAATTACATCACAACTCCATCCACTTCTAGCCTCCGGCCATAATTCAAAGTTAGCTACCAAAGCTATCATAAATTAGACTATTTAAATCGACCGATTCTAAAAAAATATGGTTAAAATGTGAAAACATTGTATGTGATATTCCTTCGTGGCACCCTCACATTATTGGAGAGGCTTGCTTCTCCTTGAAGGTCATGCTTTTCACATGGCCTAAGGAACGAGATTTTTTTCTCGCAAGCCTATATCCACAGTTTGGATACCGCCAAAATGTAGAGAATTCGATGCTTAACTGAAACTGCCGTTCATCTAGGATGTGATCAGTCTGTTATAAAGTATGGCTTAGCGAAATTTAACGATGCCAACGATTACAATAATGAATTAATTAAAGTAGAGAAAAGAATAGCAAAATCAATTCTTTTATAATACCTATTGTACAATATAGCGAAAGATGCCTACTATCAACGGTTAGATATCTGGTTATTTCGAGTGATTAAATGACATTAAGAAGAAGATTTGATGCAGATCAAAATCCTGTAGATGACCTTTAAGCTACGCAGATTAATGAACCAAAAGCAAAAATGTCTTATGGGACAAAGAACGTTCACACGCATCAGGCTAAACTCATTCATGACAACTTAACGCAGAAAATAATTCAACTAAGGCAAATGAACAAGCAGTGGCAACACACACTAGTATATGCGTTTATTCACGTTAAGTTTACTCAGGGGTTGAGTTTTATTGTAAGTATCGTAAGAATTCTTGTATTTTAATAGCAAATCGTTTATGTGAGCAGCATAAACTTATTTAAATGCTTAATCAATTAGAAAGCGTTGAATGCTTCTCAAGTAAATTTAAAACTGCCACCAAAGATTGGCTTTCAGCGATTCAGCGTTAAAATATTGTCACTGTCGTATTTTATAGAAATGATGACGATTTTAAGTTGGGTGCTAATCTCAGTAGAGGTAGATCACAAAAGAAATTCAAGAGAAAATAGTAAAGACGTATTAAAAAGATTTAAAGTGATATTCTGACTTTGCCAATGATGCGATAAACCCCCGAGCAATCAAGTTTGTCAGTTTTCTCATGTTGCTTTGACAGACTGATGAAAAGTGTTTTATTCTTATTTGTTATCACCTTGATATTACATTTCCTGAATAATAATAGCAAATTTAAGTGAATTTCTCAATTTCATTAACCAACTTGATAAAAGGATTAAGTTTACAATGGAGGTGGAGGAAGATGAACGACTACCCTTTCTGGATATCGAAGTCATAAGCTCCAGAGGGACACTCATGAAGAAACTATACAGAAAAAATTCTTATGCGGGAATAATCCTTAATTTCTAGTCTCATCATAACTACAGACTGAAGATCGGAATACTAAGGAATTCGATCATCAGAAGCTTACGACTAACGGACAAAGAGTTATGGGACGGGTAGTTGGACAAACTGACACGGATTTTCCTTAGTAACAGCTATCCCAGAGCATTTATAGAAAAAAATGTAGAGGTTATAAAGGGCCGATTTCAACTTGGATTCTACGAAAATCTGATCAGGAATGAGGATAATAACCAAAAGTGGATTTGCTTGCCCTCATCACAACTGAGCCAACAATTGCGACCTTTATAAGGAAAATGGAATATCAATGTGATAACAATAAACAATAAAACACTTTTCATCCGTCTGTCAAAGCAACACGAGAAG